GTACAGCACAATCTCATCCTTCACAAAGCTCCCGACCAACTACGTGGCTACGATTTGGACATGGGGGAAAACATCCACTCATGGTGATACAGATGGTTCATGATAGACCACCTCTACTCAAAACAAACAAAAATTTACCAAAGACAGTTATCGAACCTTAAAAAAAGCCAAGGAGCACAAATTGTAAGCATAGCACAAGTCATATTATACAAACCTGGGTTCAGGCTAGCATTATCTAACCATGTTCATTTCCTATGTCTTTACAGTGGTGCTTTTCTCAAACCAGAGCAGGAGATAAAAAGCAGGAGACAGTTCACTGGTTGATAAATGAATGCATTAGATCATAACACACAACATGGTGTCTGTTTACAGGGAAAGTACTGTTTTTTTAACAAAAGAGTCAGTTGGCTTGTGGCTAAAGGAGCGGGAAACACCGTCTCTCACTGTGGAGATGCACAGTTGCCAAAAAAAAGACAAAACACATTTTGTGTGATATTTGACTCTTTCTTGTGATTTTTTTCTTGGTGTGTGATTTGTGATTTTACCAGTGGTTTCAAATAACTTTTTTTAACATTAAGAGCCCTGCAGTGCTGAACACTCTCCTGCCATGGTGAAAGCCTCATCCAGAGGTCCAGTCCATCATCACACCTCTCATTAACCTCTGATAAATATGTAGCTCCATTAACTGCCAATCCAGACACATCCTAACCAGCTTCCGGGTGGTGTAATCTGCCTTACAGTCGAACACACCTCATTAACCTCAGTCAATGACTTCTGAAGACAATAGTTAGATGGATCTTGTGAGGACGGTTAGAGTTGGAGATGAAGAGTACTGGAGAGTAGAACCCCAGGAACGAAAGAAGGTTATAAAAAGCCTTACAAAGACACACAGCTCATAACATTAGAGTATACACTGATCAGGCATAACATTATGACCACCTCCTTGTTTCTACACTCATTGTCCATTTTATCAGCTCCACTTACTATATAGGTGCACTTTGTAGTTCTACAGTTACAGACTGTAGTCCATCTGTTCCTCTGCATACTTTGTTAGCCCACTTTTACCCAGTTCTTCAGTAGTCAGGACCCCCATGGACCCTCACAGAGCAGGTATTATTTGGGTGGTGGATCATTCTCAGCACTGCAGTAACACTGACATAGGTGGTGGTGTGTTACTGTGTGTTGCGCTGGTCTGAGTGGATCAGACACAGCAGTGCTGCTGGAGTTTTAAACACCTCAGTGTCACTGCTGGACTGAGAATAGTCCACCAACCAAAAACATCCAGCCAGCAGCGTCCTGTGGGCAGCGTCCTTTGACCACTGATGAAGGACTAGAGGATGACCAACACAAACTGTGCAGCAGCAGATGAGCTATCTACAAGGTGGACTGACAAGGTAGGAGTGTCTAATAGAGTGGACACAGTGTTTAAAAACTCCAGCAGCACTGCTGTGTCTGATCCACTCATACCAGCACAACACACACCACCACCACATCAGTGTTACTGCAGTGCTGAGAATGATCCACCACCCAAATAGTACCTGCTCTGTGAGGGTCCATGGGGTCCTGACCATTGAAGAACAGGGTAAAAGGGGGCTAACAAAGTATCGAGGAGAAACAGATGGGCTACAGTCTGTAACTGTAGAACTACAAAGCGCACCTATATAGTAAGTGGAGCTGATAAAATAGACAATGAGCGTAGAAACAAGGAGGTGGTCATAATGTAATGCCTGATTGGTGTAAATACAAAGAAAAAAGCAACTGACCATTAAGACCAACAGAGCACTTTAACATACATATTTAATTAACACCACACTAGTTTCAAACAGTTGACAAAGACCGGAGTTTATAGTGAACAGTAATGCGACAAAAAGCAATCAATGTCTACAAGTCATACATACATAATATGGATGTATTACATATTATCTACATAATAATAAGAATAATAAGTACCAAATCATTTGCATCAACAAATTGTAAAAAATATTTTTATAAAAAAAGTGAAATGTAAACAAGACATAACAGTACATAAATATTCCAAATATTCCAAGCTGCTGCCTGCCCAGAGCTGTGTGTGGTGCTAGAAGGCACATGCAGCAGTTTGATCGGTGTGGTTTAGCCTTGCACAAGGTCAAGGACAACAGACCAGTAGCTTCTGCACCCTCATAAATAAAGTGCTTATTGTAGAATCCTGCAACAGTCCTGTATGCAGCAGCATCCAGCAACACTACAAACAAGTGTAATAAACATTTATAAAAACCTGGGGCTGCCACTAACTACTATTTTTCTATTGATTAATCTATCAACTATTTTACCAATTAGTCCATTAGTCTAAATGATTAAATTTACTCCAAAAAAATAAATTGACCATTTAATGACCATTTAAAGTTCCTCTTATTTTGACAACAAGAAACTGAATCCTTACACAAAGAAATGCTCTTAAAATAATAGCATAAATAAAATAATTAGTCAAGGTAAATGTCCTGTCAAGCCCGACGTGCACGAACACACACACTGGAACGTCAATCAACATAGACTAAGCCCAGATTCGAACCTAAATATTTTCTCAATCACTTATTCAGTGGAAATTCTAAGGTAGCAGGCAGACTAATTTATGGCTTTAATAATGAGTATGTTTAGCAGCTACACTGACAACTGATTTTAAAAAGCTCTCCATACTAATAGTAATTTAATAAACATGAAGAGACAACATTTATTGTGGTTTTGCCTTTTCGGTGTTGCACCTGATCCAGCTGTCCCTCAAATTCACATCCCCCTTCACAAATCAACTTCTCAGGGATGCACAGAAATCAACTGAACAGAAATCAACGCCAATGCAAATTTCAGTGCTGTATATTCACTGCATGTTTCAGTATTGAATAAATTGATGCAGACTGATTAGTAGACGGCAATATAACTGCAGCTGCTTTGTTTGGCCTCAAGATGGTGCAATATAAAATTGCCATTTACTGAAATCTTCAACCCTGGGGCTACTATTGCACTGCTCATTACAAATCTGTTATATAAATATACAACCCTGTTTCCAAAAAAGTTGGGACACTGTGCAAAATGCAAATTTATCATTTAAATTCTATATTGAATTGAAAATATGAAAAAGACTAAAATTATTTCATTAAAAATATTAAAAATGTTAAAAATATTAAATGTTGAAACAAAGACAATTTTATTGTTTTTTTATATATGCCCATTTTGAATTTGATGCCAACAACACATTTCAAAAAAGTTGGGACGGGGGCAACAAAAGGCTGGTAAAGTTGTTTAATGCGAAAAAAACGCCTGGTGGTTGATTGGCAACAGGTCAGTAGTATGTTTGGGTATAAAAACGCATCTCAGAGAGGCTGAGTCTTTCAGTAGAAAAGATGAGGAGGGGTTCACCACTCTGTGAAAGACTGCATGATCAAATAGTACAACAATTCAAGAATAACGTTTCTTAACATAAAATAGTAAAGAACTTTTGCTTTTCATCATCTACGGTACATAATATCATTAAAAGATTCAGAGAATCTGGAGAAATTTCTGTATGTAAGGGACAAGGCCAAAAAACAGTATTTGCTGGCCATGATCTTTGGGCCCTCAGGCAGCACTGCATTAAAAACAGACTGTAGATTCTGTAGACCACTCAGCTTTTTATTAATGCACAGTTCAAAAGCCTGTATTCATGATGGTATAGGGGGGCATTAGTGCACATGGCATAAGTGACGTGCACATCTGTGAAGGCACAATTAATGCTGAACGATATATACATGTTTTGGCAAAACATGCTGCCATCGAGATGACATCTTTTTTAGGGAAGGCCTTGATTAGTTGAGCAAGTCAATGCCAAACCACATTCTGCATGTATTACAACAGCATGGCTCTGTATTAAAAGAGTCTGGGCGCTAAACTGGCCTGCCTGTAGTCCAGACCTGTCACCACTGCTAGCATTTGGCACATTATAAAATGGAAAGTATGACAAAAGGAGACTCTGAACTGTTCAGCAGCTGAAATCCTGTATCAGTAAGAACAGGAAAACATCTAACTTTCAGAGCTACGGCAGTGTCTCCTCAATTCACAAAGGCTTACAGAGTGTTGTTAAAAGCAGAGGTGATGAAACACAGTGGTAAACATGCCTCCGTCCCAACTTTTTTGGAACGTGTTGTTGGCATCAAATTCAAAATGGGCATATATTTTTCAAAAAACAATAAAATTTCTCAGTTTCAACATTTGATATGTGGTCTTTGTACTATTTTCCTTTAAAAAATATGGTTTACATGATTTGCATATCATTGCATCCTATTTTTATTCACATTCTGCACAGCGTCACAATTTTTTTGAAAATGGGGTTGTATTACACATATCAATCTTTCCCTGAGGCAGAAATTTCCCTCCATGTATTTTTTTTTTTTTGCAGTTTTCATTGAACAATTCCTCAGGACATAACTCTTCTTCCAGACAGTAATGTTGGTTAATCATTTCCGTCTGTTGGGTCCAATGTGCACTTTCCTTGGCTGAACCATTGAACCTGACATTCTGCCAATTCATAAAGAGTGAAGGTTCTGTTGTTGTGACTCACTCACAGTTTGACCCAGACTAAATAAAATTTCAGCTGCACACCAGAACCAATAATAAGAGAATAATAAGAGAAACAAGACCAAGACATATTAAACACTGACTGGTAGCATATTATTTATAAAATAAACTCCCAAAAAAATAGATTGTTAAAAAGGCATCTACATCAACATAGCTTTGAAAAAAACATCATTAACATATCACTATAAAGGGATCCTACAGCATATTCCTGTTGTTCTATATAGCACCAAAAAGGGTTATGCTTTTGTTACAATGTCAAGCTCATAACAATAGAAGAACCTATTTTGGTGCTATGTAGGACCCTTTTTGAAAAGGTTCTATATAGAGGCGTCTACAATACATTCTCCATCAATCTGAAGAACCATTTCATGATGCAAAGAACCCTTTGATCATGCAAAGGGTTCTTTGAGTGTTCATGGTTTAATATAGAACCATTTTCTTTACTAAAGAACCCTTGAAGAACCATCTTTTTTAAGTGTGTAGGTCTTTGCTGTGTTCACATGTTTGCGTTGGCGGTATGAAGCCATGCACGTTGCCATGGTGACAGCACAACCGGCAAAAACAGATGATTATCAGAGGAGAGCTTTAGCCTTGTGGACTGTTTATTTAAGGTGGAAATGATGCTCTGCACTCTTTTTGTTTGCTGTGTGTAATACTGGGGTCATCTGGAGCTCAACAACACTACGTCTGGCATCCATCACTCACAAAAAATCAACATCCGGTTTATTCCACCACTGGAATAGAACTTTTCACGGATTGTTCTGCTCCCCGATGCAGTCTGCAGGCCTTCGCCGCTTGCGGCACAACTGAAAACAATGGAATATCCGGTTTGCTGTTGTACACGTACACGTGTGGACACAGCATTAGGCCTAATCTGGGTCTAGGAATCCAGCCGTACATGTTATAAAGTCTAAATTAGTAGTAGAAATTAGCAGCCATGTTTCTCATCCTCTTGTCAACGCCAGTCCTACGTCCTTCGTCAGCGGAATCTGTCTCAACCAAAACATTCGCTGCTGCACCTATACTGCATAACTTAGGCCGTGGTGTCTCGTCTCTGTCCCCAAATCTCAAACTCGGGCAGTTGGGATGGAAATTCCAGTAGTAAAGCAGCTTTAAGAGGAGTCCAGTGATGTAAAGTGCAGGCAATGCACCAATCAATATGTAGGGATTAACTGGCAGAGGATTCAGACGAGCCGATTCCACAGATCTTTTCCAAAACCATAAGCCCAAAAGCAGCCCAATGTCGGCCCCCATGCACACATGGTAGATGATGCTCTTGACTTTAGTCTTTCCCTTTGATACGTTAAACCAGCTGAAGTACCAGATGAGTCCTACAGTGGCCCGATAGAGCCATTCACCTCCTTCAGTGTCCATGAAGTCCGTCTTCTGCCTCCAGGCACAGAGAAACAGCAGCACCCACCAGGACAGGAAGTGAGCAGCGATGTAGCAGGGCAGGATGGAGGCAAAGAGGGCAACAGCAAGCACCCGAGGGGTAATCAGGAACAGGTTCCACAGGAAGAAAACTGCAGAGGAGGACCATCCCATCTTCTGATCTTCAGGAACAAAGTCACGCATGTCACGATGGTAAAACAACACACTGATGGCGATGGACACTAGTGAACCAGCTATTTTAAAGGCTGAAAAGGAAAAACAAGCAAACAAGTAAATGATTATTACCTTTACAGTGTTTATGTTTATTTTTATATAATCAAATGTTTAGTTTTTTTACAGGCAAAAACACATTTAGTGCCAAGATGTACTTTTGAACAGATTTCAAGGCTAAAACTTCTGCACAGTCCTTCCTGGAGTGAGGCAGGTAGTGAACGCAGTTCTAACATCTACCTCCACTCTAGTGCTCTCTGTGGTGTTTTAGATGAATAAATGGTGAACACATGAAAATGTCCTGAATTTTTCTTGATTCCCAAAATAAGAACTGTCCACAGATGCATTCTTTCATAGCTCCTGTTGAGACTAGACAAACTTTACATTGAAATGTTGACAAAAAATCCATTCTACGTAATGAGAAATTGTACTGAATGACATAGTTTTTTTTTATCTAAATTCCTAAATTTACAGTGTGGCATTTGTTTCAAACAATATGCATTCTGTATGGATGTGAGAGGATAAACTGGGTGGAGTTCTATGCTGGGTAATAGAAAAAAGAAGGAAAAAAACCTACTGTACTTCTTAATGTAAGTCAATTGAACTTTGGGACTTTTTTCCCGAGTCATTTTAGGTCATTTCTTTTGGTCCTTTCATCATGAAATTTACATGCAATATAAAGGGAAACAAGTACTTTCAAATTATGTTAAAAACTGACAAATGTTAAAAATAGAGATACGAGTTTTTGTTCCGACAACAGCGCCATGCTTTATGCTTGACTTTACTAATGTACCTCAAGGCAACATAGCGCTTGCTGTTTTCCCATTACATGAAGTATGAAGTATGAAGAGGAGAATGTTGGCAAAGTAATGTCAGCTATGTACAGTAGCTGATGGTATAGGCTGTGATGTCACATTGGCTAGCCAGCCAGCTGAAGCCAATCAATCAGATGTTTACCCCTAAAACCTCCAAAAACTACACCCAATCTATCCTAATGGTGTGAATATTCACTTGTAAACAAAAAGAAATATTATTTGGAATTAATAACTTGTTAATAATACACTCATTTTCACATTTTGTTGTGTGCTACAATTTCTCCTTAGGTTGACTGGGACAGGAGCACAGTCACCAAAACTATTACTATGAAAACTAGGAGTTAAAAAAAATAATTAAAAAAATTAAAACTGTAATGTCAACTACAACATGAAAAAACTAAACAGAATTACCAAAGGAAAAAAACCCACTCTAGTTTATGTATTTTCTGTGCATTAAGTACAGTTTAGAAGTACATCTTTGTGAAAATGTCCTGCCACGTTTGAACCGGTTTCTGACGAAGGCAGACGTGTGCCTGTGGGCAGTGATGGAAAAAGGGAAGGGAGTAACGTAAAAGTAATGCTACAAGCTAAAAAGCTAAATGCTATAATGAAAATTGAAAAAAGCAACACACTCCCTGCGTAGAATTCGAACACAGCAAACTGCCTTCCAGCTTCCAATTACGCAAAAGCAGGTGCTGTGTGAATAGCTACACCTGAACATCACAAAGATGAAGACAATCATAGACGTGCACACGTTCACAGAGATGAGGAGCATCATGACTGCTTAAGTCTATTGCTTTGATGCATTAAATGCTTGTCAGTGTATCCAGCATATAATTAGTGTTTTGCTCGTCAATACCTATGATCACAGCTTTTATCATGATGCTAAAAACTAAAATACTGAATAAAAAACTAAATAAAAAGTAAACTAAAACTAAAACCACTGGGATCAGCATTCTGTAAAGCGTTCTGCTAGAGAAAGACTGCGTGTATGGATGGAACATGGACGTGCGAGTTCTTTAACAGGGAGGAATTTTAGAAGTTGATCTGACCTGTAAAAAGCTGCAGCTCCTGCTCGTGCATGGTGAACGTGATCATCAGAACAAGCTGTGGGACGCTTTCAGAAAATGTCTCAAACAGCCGCAGCACGCTGAGGTCGTGCTTCAGAAACACAGCTACTCCTTCCTGGAAGCGGTCGCTTCTTTGTATAATTTTGCGGATGGAGATTTCTATTAAACTGGCAAACCTACATGGAAATGAATGAATGAATGACAGAATGAATAAAAAAGAGACATACAATTAATATATTATATATAAATATATATACATATACATATATATATATATATATATATATATATATATATATATATATATATTATTATATTATATTATATATTATAACTATCTTCACATTTCTGCTTAAAGAAAGCCTCCCAGAAGAGTGGAAGCTGTTATAGCTGCAAAGAGGGATCAACTCCATATTAATGCCTATGGATTTAGAATGGGATGTCATAAAAGCACATGCAGGAGTCATGTGTAGGTGTCCCAATACTTTTGTTCATAAAGTGTGTGTGTGTGTGTATGATGTGTTTTTTTTGTCTAAGTATATTATTTTGCCAAAAAAGCAATTTTATAAATACATGACAAATATATCAAATTATTCACTAATATTTCTTATGTGAATTTTCAGTGCATCCCTATAAATTTAATTTTAGTTTCTTTTTTGTCTTTAATTTGGAATTAGTCTGAAAAGTCAGGTGGCACAACCAGATAGGTCAAATGATGCAACCAGCTGGGTTTTGTCAGATATATATATATACATATATATGACTTTTTACACAGTTGTGTAATGTGTCTTTATACATGACTCTGGGCCGACCATTTCATTGTTTCAAGGTTTCAATTTCAAGGAACTGCTTCACCCGTTTTGCTGTGTAACAGGGGGCATTGTTCTGCATGAAAATTGCTGGCTGATTGAGTGATGAACACAAGGAACAAACCACGTGTTGTTGAAGAAGGTTCTGATACACACTTGCATTCACTCTGCCAACTCCTGCTGCCGAAAACATTCCCCAAACCATGACACTTCCTCCTCCACCTTTCACTGACTTCTTTACACACTTTGGGTTCAGTCTTTCCCCAGTTTGTCGATGAGCATAATGTTTCTCATCAGACCCAAATAAATTGAACTTGCTTTCATCACTAAAGTGAACTCTGGACCACTTCTCCTCTGACCACACAACATGCTCCTCAGCAAAGGCTAGTCTAGCCTTTTGATTCTTTCTGCCAATGACAGGTTTGGTCACTGCAGAGTGGGCTTTCAGTCCAAATGCTCTTAAACGTTGAGCCACTGTATGACGAGACGGTTCCTTACCCTGTTTAGTGCTGAACTGGCGAGGAATTCCAGCTGCAGTGTTGAACCTTTTTCAATTATCTCATTTAAGTTTTTTATACTGTGCTTTAGAATATATACAACTCATGAAATAAGCTACTATAGTATAGTACTATAGTAAGCAGTAATACTGCATACTGCTCTTTTACTCCTGTTAGGACAAATTCACATAGGACTACACAGTGACCTTGACATTTAGGAAATTGTGTGTTGTTCTCTAATTTTGATATCCAGTGTGTGTATATATATATACATCGATTTTTGACGTTGATTTTTGACATCGATTTTTGACGTTGAATGAATCGGTTCAGAAATGTATATATATATATATATACACTGGATACGTGACGTGAACATTTCTGAACCGATTCATTCAACGTCAAAAATCGATTTTCTAAATATTTAATTTATACCGTAATGTTGACAAAACGCAAAAGGCTGAACTGGCAGTGCGGAAGTGCAGCGCCCGGACAGTCTGTGGCGGCACATAACAAAAACACAGCTGGATGAGTGAGAAATCCGACCGGCTCCCTCTGCATTAAAGCCAAGTTAGATAAGGAGTCACAACACAAATGTTCAGAAGAGCCATTTTGCCTTTCAACGAAGTCAAACCACCTCGGGAGCCACAACATTTAATGCCCAGTATGTCTCAGTATGTGTTAATGTCGTAGTATGGGCTAAAAATATAAACGAGAGCGCAGATCTACTTTGCTCTGCTTTAAGCTTCGCCTACAGCCGCTTTCCTCCCATCTCCGCCAGAAGACTTTTCTTCAAAACTAGAAGAGTTTCTTGTAAAATGTCTCAGCGTCCGGCTGTGTTGCGAGGCTGAAGTCGCTTCTCATTCGCCAGCTTCTCGTTCTAATTTTCCCGTTCCACCTTAAATTCTGCCTTAGGCGCCGAATGTTAATGCGGCACCATTTAAGGTGGAACGGGAAAATATGAAAGAGAAGCGAGTTCATTTTCGCAACTTTTTAGAGAAAGACAGTCTCTCAGCAGATTTAACCAACCGCGCTGCTTATAAATGCTATCTGCTGTCTGTTTTCAGTCGTTGAGAACCAGGGCTTTCGCGCTATGCTGCACACTTTGGAGCCGAGATTCAGCGTCCAGTCTCGAAAATACCCCCTCTCTACAACGAGACCAATCGTCGAATTGAATCGTGAGGTGCCTAAAGATTCCCACCCCTAATATATATATATATATATATATATATATATATATATATATATATATATATATATATATATATATTAGGGGTGGGAATCTTTTTTTAAATAGTCGTGTGATGTGTATGTATATATATATATATATATATATATATATATATATATATGTATATATATACATACACATTACACGACTATTTAAAAAGTCCCTCCAGTCACATTTGTATATTCGGTGTATGTTTTAAAAATAGTTTACCCAATACCAAAATAATAAAATTAAATTAAGTTGTTGTAAAAATTGAAATTTCAGTGCATTTAAATGTTTCTTTTCAGACTTTAATTTTACCTTTCAGTTATCTTTTACTTGCTTTTCCTTGAAACTGGGACTAAATAACAATAAGGTATTTCTTGGATCTCCACAGTGAGTAAAAACACTTCTGCTCTCTGTTATTATCAATATCAGATGTGATCCCTGTATCAGCACAGCTTCAGATTCTTTACAGACCAAACCAGTTTTACAACATACAGTCTCTCAGGGGTGTGTTAGACTTTCTAGTAAATTAAGCTAGATCCATTCTTCAGTACAGTGAGTAATGGAACCCACCCAGCTGCCCGACAATAGACCTTTTATACTTTTCATAACTTTTTAACTTCCCCAAAGTCAGTTGCATTATTAGATTTGGATTCAGCCGGTTACAGAAAGCCATTCACTCCACAGTTCTGACTGTCTGACTGTAAAAACTGCACAGACTCCAGATTTATACAGAATTAAAATCACTTCACAGCGATTCTGCCAGACTGTGAAAACTACAGGAAGCTACAAAATCTGTCCATACCTGAGGAACAGTCCCAGCTGAAAGACGTGCAGTGGTCCTATTAAACCGTACTCCCTCGCAAATTTGTCGGTGCTGGTTTCAGGCTCCGAGTACCAGATCCAGCTGAAAACATGAACTAAGATAGAGGAGCAGAGCAGCAGAGCTATCAACACTCCCATATAAACATACTCCCCGTCCTGATACAGCGACACGATGGCCCACACGTCCAGCGCCACGTCCAACAGGAAAAGCAGTGTACTGAGCAGAGAGAGCAGGCTGGATGATAATGGAAAATGGAAAGGAAAGGTTTCCTCCATGGTGTGAGCTTGTTTGAGGTCTCTGGTCTTTGTCTGTAATCCAGTGCTGCACTGAACTAAATACTTTCAGCACAAAACTGAAAGTAAATGCCCTCCTTCACTTTAACACACTCAAACCCTCCCACACATTCCTCTGTTACATCATTCATCATACCTTACGCCCACACAATATCAGTGTAACTTAGTGTGTGTGACCGGGGATACCCATTTCATGAGGAACAATGACAAAGCAAATCAAAATGAAACTGATAAGATGCACAGTATACACTGATCAGGCATAACATTATGACCACCTCCTTGTTTCTACGCTCATTGTCCATTTTATCAGCTCCACTTACTATATAGGTGCACTTTGTAGTTCTACAATTACAGACTGTAGTCCATCTGTTTCTCTGCATACTTTGTTAGCCCCCTTTTACCCTGTTCTTCAGTGGTCAGGACCCCCATGGACCCTCACAGAGCAGGTACTATTTGGGTGGTGGATCATTCTCAGCACTGCAGTAACACTGACGTGGTGGTGGTTTGTTAGTGTGTGTTGTGCTGGTCTGAGTGGATCAGACACAGCAGTGCTGCTGGAGTTTTTAAACACCTCAGTGTCGCTGCTGGACTGAGAATAGTCCACCAACCAAAAACATCCAGCCAACAGCGTCCTGTGGGCAGCGTCCTGTGACCACTGATGAAGGACTAGAGGATGACCAACACAAACTGTGCAGCAGCAGATGAGCTATTGTCTCTGACTTTACATCTACAAGGTGGACTGACAAGGTAGGAGTGTCTAATAGAGTGGACAGTGAGTGGACACAGTGTTTAAAAACTCCAGCAGCACTGCTGTGTCTGATCCACTCGTACCAGCACAACACACACTAACACACCACCACCAATGGCAATGACAATGAGTGTAGAAACAAGGACATAACGTTATGCCTGATTGGTGTATGTTATTTGTGAGTTGTGTTGCTACTGTAGGAGGGAGAGAGAGAGATTTTCTGTTCTGCACTCATTACTCGTTTTTAAAACACAGTTTAATTTAAACCACCAAAATAGGAAGTTTAAATTTAATCCCTGAAGAAAGTTTAAATTGAATCTAGATTTACTATAAAAGTGATCCCAGATTAAAACGGTGGTTTAAATGTAACACTGCCTCACAGTGCTTCAAATATGCAGATGGAAAAATGTCAGTTTAACCAACCTCAGTACACATCTCTTTTCGGATGACGACCTGTTTTAATCTGTTGATATATCTCTGGGAAAAAAAAAAAACAGCGAGAATAACAACTAGTACAAATAAACGATTCCCCTCTGTAGCTGTAGCAGGAGAAGCGACCTTAACCGCTGACTCAGAATCAGGCTGATCCGTTAAGTTTCTGTTTAATTTTGAAATTGAGAAAAGCAGAAAACATATTTAACAAAGGATTACACAAAACTAATAAAGTGGCCAGTGAGTGGAAGTATGAGGTAGGTGTTTCTAATAAAGTGGCCAGTGAGCGAAAGTATGAGGTAGGTGTTTCTAATAAAGTGGCCAGTGAGCACAAGTACAAGGCAGGTGTTTCTAATAAAGTGGCCAGTGAGTGGAAGTGTGATTATTTCTGAGTTTTAATGTGTCCAGTCTTTACCTTTATTACATCTTCCATTTTTTTCAGGAGAAAGTGCTGAAGGGGCCAGTTCTGGTGGTCTACCAGGTCTTGCACGGTTGTTAGGAGTGATATGTTTTCTGTAGCTTTTAATTACTTTTTTGGAAACTCCTTAATAATAATGAACAACTTGTACTCAATGGATGTCTTGACTGGAAATGAAGTTTGCACAGTACAGTATATATTTTTTTTCTATTTTTTAACATTTACTGGACGCTACATCCAGATTCTTATTTTCTTGTATGTTTCCCAAACTAAACGTTGAGTGTGTCAGCTTAGTTTTTGAGCTGTGGTCAGAGATGACTGTGCTGTACTGTGATGTAACCGTCATGAGACTCCAGTAATAAAGGAGTCATGTGTAACTGCTCTGTGTGTGTGATGATGCAACACTTCAGTAAAAAGATCAATGTAGAGGAAATCCTGAACTAAACAACACAACAGCATTTACTGTAGAATTCAGCATAAATCTTCACAGACGTGGAGATTCCAGGCTCAATTATACAGCTCTAATCAACACCCCTGACATTTCAGCTACATCATGTAATATTCTGAATATTATCTTTGGAAATGTAACCATTTTTATTGTCAGAATACTTTAATCAGATGTCTAAAGTTATACGACAAAAAGTGACGTCTTTGATTTACATGGGGTTTATTTTCCACATTAGAAAAAGAACATACGAGCTGGCCACTCTTGATAATGACCACAGCCTCAAAACATTTCTGGTAGCCACCTTTCTGTGAGACCGTCTGCAGGGTTTCTTTTATCTTTAGCAGATTTCAGTTCCTTTCAAAGGTTTTAATCAGATTGAGATCTGGACTCACTGCTGGTCAAGATGGTTTAAAAAAATGGTTTAATTAAAATGGTTTGTTACAGCCATGTTTTCCGTTTTAATCATTCTTTTGTGCTTTCGGCTATATGTTTTGGGTCATTGTCCTGCCAGAGGACCCCGTCCTCGACCCTGACCAGCACATTTTGCTCTAAAATGTCCCAATAATCCTCTGATTTCATGATCCTCTTAGTGCATTCAAGGCTGCAGGAACATTATAGAATCCCAATCATATGGAACTGTAGGTAGGCTGTTCATTAACATCCATTAATGTACAGAATGTGGTTCTAATCAAATTAACCTCCAGAATAAATTTGAATAAAATGAACCTCCAGAATGAAATTCTAATACGATTAATATTCAGATCTAAGTTCTAACAAAACTAATGTCCAGAATGAAGTTAATAAAGTTACACATGAAGAAATAAAGTTAGAAATGTTTCCTCCAATTTTATTTACACAGACAGTCACAAATCAGGTTTCCACATTTCCAGGAGCAGATATTAAATAACAAACTGATAGTGACTGAAAAATTTGTAACAGAAACCAGTAAAAAAGAGATACAGATTCCATGCTGGGCGGCACCAACTGCTGAGATTTACAGGCAGACAAAGACATGCTGTAGGTCTCTCAGTCACACCTCTGAAATTTCACTTCTACTTTTAGATCAGTTTTTACAGGAAATCAGACCAGCACTGACAGGAATGCAGCTCAGCCTGGCTTATACACTCAGAAATGAGTGGATATACATCGTCACAAGGTTGACAAACATCACAAACTTGTTTTAAATAAAAGTTTACAATCATTCATCCACATCCATGAGACGGTCCAGTCCGCCATAATTAGTTATTATATCGCTGCTGTCAGAACAAAACGTTGTATCTCCAAAATGGTAACTTTACAGGAAAAGGAAAAAACCTTCTTTACTTTTAATGCAGGTCAATGGAACCAGAAGTTTTTCCAAGCAATTTTCAGACATTTCTTTTGGTCCATTGATCATGAAATGTACACACAATGTAAAGGCCAAAAGGTACTGTGAAATTATGTGAAAAACTGAAAAATGACAAAAACGGAGATACGAGGTTCTGTTCCGACAGCAGCGATACATACAAATGTAGTAAAATGAACGCATCAAACATACAGTCACAGGCAAAGGTTTAAATGCCCCTCAATCAAATTACATTTTGTTGAGGTTTTAAGAGAAAATAAGTTAAAACATCTTCTACAGAGACTTGGATACAATTTATTCTGCAAATTTTAGGGCATAATTTCTATCTACTAGCTGAGTATAACATATAATACATAAAATATAAAATATGCTACATGATTTTTTCCCCCCAATGTGTTAAATTCAACAAATGAACAGTAACTGTGTATTAAAGTGTGCTGAAGAGTGTTCTCTGTAGAGGATGTGTAACTTCGTTCACACAGCAGGTAAAAGTGGCCCAAATCTGATTTTCTCACCAAACCAGATTCTTTTGTTTGGCTGTTCACCTTGTCTTTTAAATGTGATCGGTATGTGACATCAGTCTGAACAGATCAGCTCCTAAACTGAGCCACATGCACAAAAGAACAGAGCTGAACTGTGTTAGTGCAATTAAACTGTGAATGACACATCCTTATAAGGCACAGATCCTGTTTGGCACTGTTTGTTTCGTGTTCTCTCTTTTATCTAGTGTTACGTCTTACACACTTGGAAAAAAAAAATAGTTCTCCAAGGGTTCTTTAGTAAAGAAAATGGTTCTATTTAGAACCAATGAACACTCAAAGAACACTTTGCATGATTAAAGCGTTCTTTAGATTGCAGATTGCAGTGCTGTCGATGGTTCTATGTAGAATCTTTTGGAAGTGGGTCAAGTCTGTAACAATAGAAGAACCCTTTTTGATGCTATATAGAACCCTTTCCAAAAAGGTGCAATACAGAACCATATACAACACATTCTCCATTGATCTGAAGAACGCTTTCACAATGCAAAGCACGCTTTAAGCATGCAAAGCGTTTTTTGAGTGTTCAAGGTTCTATATAGAACCATTTTCTTTACTAAAGAACCCTTGAAGAACCATCTTTTTAACAGTGTACGGCAAAAAGTCAAAAGCAAAAAAATGACCTAAACATCAACATGTATCACTTTTCAACTTTACAAATAACAATTTATATATAAAAAATACAAAACTGTAACAATATAAATTGAGCTAATTATTAACAGCATGAATATATTTAAATACTGATATAATTTAAACAAACAAGGTTTTGGCTTTCGCCTTTCTTTCCTGCAGAATCCCTTACAGAGGCAGTTACAATGATATAAAAAAGAGGAAGAAGACTCTCATTAAAAATAGACATACTGTATTATGAGTGGTAATGCTCATTAAATATTCAACAGGGAAGTAGTGCTTCCACAAGCACTTGACCGCAAAGCCAAAAGCTCAGACAGCCTTGATGCAAAGGCAACAATATTGCCTGGATGAAAAGAGCCAATTCTACAGTTTATAAGACTCTAATTCTAACTTAACTGACCTGTTCCAGCCACAAATGCAATATTTTAGCAACTGTTGTTTGGTTGGACAGCTGGTGAAATCCCTTTTAACAAACTGAATTTAGGTTGCAGTTTAGAGACACAATGTAATGTTTTCAATTAAATGCTGACGAGCTGGACTAATCTTCAGTTTCTCATTAAGCTGAATGAATAACTGGCTCTAAATGTAGGTATTGTGATATAAACTGAGTCCGTTCTACAGTTTCTCATTAGGCTGAATGAATAACTGACTCTAAATGTAGGTATTGTGATATAGACTGAGTCCGTTCTACAGTTTCTAATTAGGCTGAATGAATAACTGGCTCTAAATGTAGGTATTGTGATATAGACTGAGTCCGTTCTACAGTTTCTAATTAGGCTGAATGAATAACTGACTCTAAATGTAGGTATTGTGATATAAACTGAGTCCGTTCTACAGTTTCTCATTAGGCTGAATGAATAACTGGCTCTAAATGTAGGTATTGTGATATAGACTGAGTCCGTTCTACAGTTTCTAATTAGGCTGAATGAATAACTGGCTCTAAATGTAGGTATTGTGATGTAAACTGAGTCCATTCTACAGTTTCTCATTAGGTACTGTGATGTAAACCTAGTTGCAAGCTTTCTCTCTTCTGAATGGAAATGATACAAACGTTCTGTAAAGCCAACCAAGCAACACTTGCTATAAAAGTCATCAGTGGGCGGAGCATGGACACGTCAATCATCTTCAAGCGTGCCAAATAAGCAAAGTTTAGTGTCCTCTTCCTCTCTGTTTACACAACCAGTTGTACTGATTTCTCCTCTGTTGTACAATGAAATTGCAACAACACCAGCATGTGATGTGCACACAAGCACACTGAAGCCATTTGATTTCTTCATGGCTTATTGAGCTTCGTGAAGTCATGATAGTCTACATTACCTGATTCACAATAGTGTATCACGAAATTTTTGGTGTTTATATGAAGGTAGGGGGACCCAGATGAGGTATAGTGTGTTATGCATCAGAAAGCTCAATATACAATTAACGACAAGTACCATTTGAACCCACTACAAAATCAAAGCCATAAATATGTAACATTCAATCTTAAAAAAAGATGAAAAACTGTAAACACATTTTTCTTAACACCTCAGATATGAATAATTACCAGTTATCTGCCCAGTAACTGCTCTGACAAAATCAGTCAGAGTGGTTTGGTGTGAAATGCGCCTTTCTAGAGAAATTCACAGTCATAATTGTTCGCCATTATATTACTAGGAACCAGACGTCCGTATATCTACACTACAAATATCACCATTTTATCTGCTATTAAAAAATGACCAGTGAACTGTGTGCCTTATAACGTTTTATATGTCATGCTGACAATAGTAAAACAGTGCTAAATTCAAAAAAATACATTTTTGAGTATTATTTTTTCCTTACAACGCCCCGCATGTACCTCTCCACCCTGGACGTTTGTGTTGTTTGGGTTGATGGTGTTGCGTTGAACAGTCAGCGAAACTCAGAGCTTATGTGAGTAACGTTATTCATCAGAGGAGCTGATATAGATCACAGTTGTGTTACATCTGAATCAGTTCCCCCTCAAATTCACATTCGCTCTGGGATCTCGGGCACGCATTCACTGAACAACGCCAAGCAACAGTGGAACTACGGAAAGCGAAAAGCGTTTAGGTTAAATGGCCGCATGTTTTCACCCAATCCCCAATATAAATTCACTCAAGATAACACGGCATAACTGAGATTCCGTAATAAATATTATTCTCAGTTCGAGTAAACAGTAAAAATCGTGCTGATAAATACTTTTTGTACTGTTCGTCGACAATTACATGAATGCAGCTGCCATACAAAGCTTTTTTGAAGATTTTCACTTTCCGTAATTCCAGTGTTGCTTGGCATCGTTATCTGTTCAGTGAATGCGGCGTCTGAGGACCTGATTCGTGAAAGGGAACATGAATTTGAGGGGAAACTGAATCGGACACAACATCAGCGTTAGCCAGGTTAAACAGCTGTAGCTACAGGCTAATAGCTACAAAAGCATGTTAGCTTGATCTCAGTTGAGACTGCGATTTTGACAGGAAACACAGAAATAATCCTGGAATAGTATTTTTTACTAAAAATACATTTTAGGCCAAAACTTTATAACAAAACCATCACGAAACTATGCCTCAGGTATCAAGCAATGCATTTCTAATCATTTTGTGTAAGAATTTAACAGGATGTAGCTTTTAGAGTCATTAAACGTGTCATACCTCTGGTTCCTAGTACTATAATAGTGAACAATTTTGACCTGATAAATTTCTCTAGAAAGGCACATTTCACACCAAACCACTCTGAATGGTTTTGTTCACATCTAAACCATTGAATGATTGAGTAATTTTGCAAAATCGGTGGAGTTCTCCTTTAAGGGGAGCACTCCAGCATTTTACAACTTAAAGGAACAGTGTGGCGAAAATCAAATCTACACAAGTTTCCTCTTGTTTCAGATGAATTTAAAATCAGCCAAGACAATTTTTTTTATCCAAAATTTTGATTATTAAGTTTAGCGCTGGATCTAAGAGTTCAACATTGCTAACAAACAACAAGTCAACAGTCACCCAAATCTGTTTCCCCAAAACTTCTCTCAACTTGCTCAAACCACTTTCAGCTCTTCATTAGTCTTGCGCTGACTTGTCTGTGTGGTTTGAGACACAGCATGACTTCCTGTGATCTCTAAACACAAACAAAACTTCACTGTGTTGCTGAACGCGGCGAGCAGCCACTTCAGACAACACACACAACACGCATGCATATGGACGTTAGACTACATTTGCAATTTTTATTGTTTCTTTTTGTAAATAAAAACTGTTCATCTTGTAACTGAAGGTATGTTTATAAACAGAAATAACAGAAATCTAATCTAATCTAATCTAATCTAATCTAGCTTCCGCATGCCTGTCTGACCTGCGTTCACAGGAAGGGGAGTCGGATTCTCTGTGGGCGTCAGAATTCAACACAACACTTCTCGTCTAAAGTGTCTGTCAGCGTTCAGCTACACGGTGAAGGTTTGTTTATTTTTGTATAGATCACAGTAAGTCATTTAACTGCATCGACAAGTCTGTGTGACCTTAATGAAGACCTGGATGTGGTCTGCGCAGGTTGAGAGAAGTTTTGAGGATGTTTTTAGACAAAAGATTTGGGTGACTATTGATTCTAGTGTTCAGCAGCATTAGCTCGTAGCTCCACTGCTAAACTAAAGAAGCAAAATTTGGACAGCAAACGTGTCTTGGCTGATGAAACACATCCGGGATAAGTGGAAAATTAGGTGAATTCAATTTTTCGCCAAGCTGTTCCTTCAGTTTCTATCAGCTGCATCTGCAGTGCACTTTACTTTCTACAAACAATAGTTTTCATGAACTTGAAAAATAATTAAAAAACAGAAAAAACCCTTACGACTCAAAAACACACTTATACTGGATGTCAATGGGCAGAGCAAGTCAGATGGTGCACATAGAGATTATGTGGAAAAACAATGGAGTACTACAGCTGCAGAGTTTAGTGTTTACCCTTCACTCATAAAAGGCTTTCTAATTAATTAATGAGTTCAGGGTGGGCTGATAAAAAAAGGTGGATCTGCCCTGAGCTGGGTTTTGGCAGCAGTGATTTACAATTATATGGAGGGAATTATCATTAACAATGCCATTTACTACAAAACTAGACTACAAAAGGATGGTCAGCTGTGTGAAACCCAGCCTGAGGGTCAGTATTCCAGATAATGATCATTCCTAGTCTTGGACTAAAAGACACTGCCAGGATGGACTTTTCAGTTGATCTATCAAACATGCTCTTTTGTAGCTTCTGTTGCTGGACAAGCAGAACGTTGGCAATTTTCCCATTCAATCTAATGAGAAACTGCAGCACTCAACTTTGTACTTAAATGTATAGTGCATTATTTAATTTTTCTTTTGTAGACAAGCAAAAAGGTCACAAGATTAGTGCAGTTTTTCCTGTTTTTGTACAGTCGACCTAATGATGCACTTTAGGTTTGTGCAGTAACTTTGGTATTAGGGACAGAGAAATTTCAGCCACCTAAAATTTTAGTCAAAAATGACACTTTTGGTACCCCAAAAACTCGAAGACTCAACAGGACCACTAAGTATTAAAATGGGACAAATACAAATAATTTTTTCGTAACAAAAATAAAAAAAAATGAAATATAGTGATTAATGGAGTGATTTTTATTCCTGTGCCTCACTATTTGGTGTATTTATAAATACACCGATCAGGCATAACATTATGACATTATCTGTTTCTCTGCATACTTTGTTAGCCCCCTTTGTTAGCCCACTTTTACCCAGTTCTTCAGTGGTCAGGACCCCCATGGACCCTCACAGAGCAGGTACTATTTGGGTGGTGGATCATTCTCAGCACTGCAGTAACACTGACGTGGTGGTGGTGTTTTAGTGTGTGTTGCGCTGGTCTGAGTGGATCAGACACAGCAGTAGTACAGACGGACTACAGTCTGTAATTGTAGAGCTACAAAGTGCACCTATATAGTAAGTGGAGCTGATAAAATGGACAATGAGAGGAGAAACAAGGAGGTGGTCATAATGTTAAGCCTGATCGGTGTATTTATACCAAATATGAGAGCAAAAATGCTTTAGCTTGTGGTGTAAGTGACTATGTTAACTTAGCAAGCTAGCAGTGCTGAATCTGGTGAGGTTTCTTTGCCTATCAATGAGATGTTCATTCATAAAAATATGATTTCACAACGAAAAACACACCCTGTCTATCCTAACAGTGCGACATTTCATACATACAAATATTTAATTAATAACACCCTCTAAATTAAGGTATTTCATTATCTCATTATGTTGAATGGGATTTTAGCCAGCTCTCTGAAAAGCTTGTGTAAGTCTAAGATGATAAGAGTGCAAATTTCAAATCGCAAGAGCTGCAAGTTTTATTATAGCCTGTATTTCAGCTTGTCAACTGACTGTAGATCAGTTAGACCAATCAAAAGCAGCCAGCCAATCAGAATACCCATGAGCTGTGACATCATAAACACAACTAACTGGCAATCTGGCACACTACATTCAGCCAGGAACTGTGGATATTTCTGGTCATCTCAGTCAAAAAACAGGCCTTAATTTATAGATAATAATCACAATTTAAATTGCAGTCACAATATTGGTCAGAAAAATGTGACCATGTCGTTCAGCCCTAGTGGAGCATGGATAGATCAAATGAAATACTATGTTTTAGTCAAGAATTAGACACAATCTGGATTAATTAACCTTGACTGTGGTTGACCTAATTTCGCTTTTCTCTCATCCTTAAACAACCCTGTTTTCTCCTTATCCATTCGTTTTAGTTGTAGGTAGAGTCCTTGTGCTGTAAAAGTTACTGACGTGTTTGGCCATTCTCTTGTTTACAAACTCCGGGACGGAAGAAACCGCTTGAACAAAAGCCGCATCTCCATCCGGCACATCGTCTGGAGCTTTGCCCGAGTCCACCGGCTGCCACAGCGTTGGATGAAAGCAGCAGTAATAAAGCGTTTTGACCAGGAGGCCCATGACATAAGACAGCGGAACGAGAATGAGAACTAACAGGGTGTACGACTGGGTTGTTTCCAGATCCCTGAGCCACCACCACGAGAAAAGCAAAACTCCACTGTCTGTTAAAGCAAAAGTGTGATAAATGATGCTCCTCCCTCTCGTCTTACCTTCTGCCACGTTAAACCAGCTGAAGTACCATATAAGCCCTATGGTGGCCCTGTAGAGCCACTCTCCTGCAGGACTGTCCATGAAGTTAGTGCCCTGCAGCCAGGCCCAGAGGACAAAGGCAAGCCAAAGGCACAGGAAGTGAGCAGCGATGTAGCAGGGCAGGACGGAGGTAAACAGAGCCACAGTGACCACTCTCGGGGCGATCAGGAGGAGGTTCCACAGGAAGTAAACCGCAGAAGAGAGCCATCCCTGTTTGCTCTTGTCCGGCAGGAAGGAGCGCAGTGAGCGGTGGTAGTCCACCACCATCCACGCTATTGACGTCGTGGAGGCTATCGCGCTCACGTCTGCAAGCAGAACACAACAGTTTCACTTTATACTCTCACGTCTGTTTGACACGGGCAGCCTCTACCTGCACTGAGTGATGCGGAAACTCTCGCTTCTCATTTCGCCATCCACGTTTACGGGGCTGCAACCAATATTTAATAATATTTGACAAATACAAATTAAAGTAGTGGGAGTAAGGCCAAATGACTGACAGTTTCTGTGTGTGTATATATATATATATATATATATATATATATATATATATATATATATATACACACACACACACACACACACACTAATGTAAATCAATGGAACCTTTTTTTGCAATTATTTGAAAATGCTTGCAAAAAAAGTCTGGTTCCACTGATTTACATTAAAAGTAAAGTATGTTTTTTCCTTCTCCTGTAAAGTTACCATTTTGGAGATACGAGGTTTTCTTCCGACAACAGCGATATGCATATACTTCTTATAAAATCATTTTATATACTGAACGAAATGTTTTTGCAGGTTAACAATGTTTTATTATTCTTGGATGTTTCTTTTTAAAAATAATAAAAAAAAAATAAAAAAAAACCATCTTTAACAATCAAAAAAAATCTGAAATATTTTTGTTGCACAATATAGTAAAAACAAAACTGAACAATTTCTATAAACCTATGTCAATATTGCTTTCTGCCAAAAAAGGTGCTGGCTGAACTTGGCTTCTTCTTGGCAGCTCTTTGTTTGAATTTTCCTATTTAACCTGGAACAGCAGTTGCATTCTTGCAGCTGTACAGGCTCCTAAATGTAAATGCAGCACCATTTCAGGCAGAACTAGAAATTCAAATAAGTTCAAATCAGTTTTTTCAGGTCATTTGTCTTGTGTGTGCATCCTACACTTGGCCACCCCGACTGTCAGACACTGCTGGAAATTGGAAAATATTACATTCACGCTTCAGTTGCATGATTTGCACTGTTTGTATGTCACGCTATCTGTGCTTATTTGTGGAGTACCGGTATAACAGGTATGACGAAACTCATACCTGAGGAAGAATTTCAACTGGTATACCACCCACTGCCAAATAAAAATATTAAAATAAATGACACACTCACCACTTCTATAAACCCACAATGTTTTCTGGCAGTGTCAGCCCTGCACACCTGACTCACTGGAAATTGTGGTTGGGCACAGCTTGCCAAAGTCGGGGCGACAGCATCAGTTTTACCTCTGTAGTTTCCTACTGCTCCAGATCATTGGCATGGTTTCTGTTGTACTTACTACTAAGAATGAATGAGAGAATACTGGCTAGCTAGCTGTCCAGAGCTGTAGGTAACTTATTCAGACTACACCAGGCAATGAAACTGATGGACAGTTTAGCCCGAGATCCAGTATAAAGCGGCTTTGTGGGGCTTAAAAACCTCAATCGCTGCCCTGTTCGCTGACAACAGTTCACTAAAAAGTTATTTTCTTTTTTACGCCGTTTCCTCTGTTCAGGTTGCTGCTGTTCTAAGCCAGCAACCTGTGAATTTTCAAATATTCAAGATAACATTTGATAGAATATTAAAAAACATTTAATAGTCACAGCCCTACAAAATACAAAATATTCTACAATTCATGGCCGTTACCAAACAAAATGATGGCCCAATAGTAGAGAAACTGCTAAGAATAAACAAATGCAAGGCACTCTTTTATTAAACAGCTGATTAGACTATTTATCCATTTGGAAAAATGATGTCTGTATATCGTGGTAAGAAGCTGGTGTTAGTCTGCTTTACAGTTCCGCACACAAATGCATGTATGAATGACCAGCGCTGCCACATCATTCAGCACACAGAGGCATGTGTGAAAGAGGTCTCACATATACACAGAGATATATATATATATATATATATATATATATATATATATATATATATATATATATATATATATATATATATGGTAAGTGTTGTTATGTACGGATCTACAGTTACAGATTGTATCTCATCTATATACATTGTGTATATACTGTATATTGTGTATATACTGTATGTATTTCGCTGTTGTCGGAAAACCTTGTATCTCCAAAATGGTACCTTTACAGGAGAAGGAAGAAACCTACCTTACTGTCAATGAGACCAGACTTTTTTCACAAGTCATTCTGGGCTGTTTCTTTTGGTCCATTCATCATAAAATTTAGACACAATGTAAAGGACAACAAGCTGTTTCAAATGATGTCAAAAACTGAAAAATGACGAAAATGGAGACTTTTCTTCTGACAGCAGTGATATACATGTGGCTATATACAGTGTAAAGTTAATATATACTGTTTAAAAATTGCTGTGCATCAAAAACATGGTCTGAAAACAACATATCCTCTTATTTGTAAGTTGTGTTGTCATTTTGGCCCCAAAGACAAAACATTTGGGCACCACTATTCTAAAGTCTCATTCTGAGCCCCACTGAAGCATATGGAGTTTTTTTGTCCCTGATTTACTTTAGAAAGATACATTTCAGTAAAGAAAAACAGTAATTTCTGTTAAGTATTGCATATTACATATTTGTTTGGACCTCTCCATTAATAACCCATCCAAAGAATATCTGGTCAGCACTGGTCCTTTGGTGGTCCCTTTCCATTGATGGATGAGTTAAAGGGGGGCTGATAAATTGCACAGCAACAGATGGGCTACAGACTGTAACCAAAACAGACTGTCGCCAAAAAGTCTACGTACAATAACCAGCATCTCTATGTAGGTGTACAGATGTTTGTGTCCAGTTTGTTTACAAACTGTTCATCACAATCTTGCCAATTAACTGTCCTCAACTCAAGCTCCTCAGTTGATGTTCCTCATATGAGCAACTTCTGATATTGGCTAACAACTTCCACACAGCACTACTGAAGCACCCCTCCTAAAGAGACCTTTCATATGATAAGTGAGCAGCTACTTGGTCTTAACCTCTTCAACTCCTTGAAACCACCAGTGGTTCCAAAACGCACTTCGTCATATTCTTCATAACCTTCATATTTCATAAGCTACATTCAAAAGGTGGGGGTCGTATGAGAGCTGTAACCGTCCTCTTACCAGTCAAACAGATGGGTGATGTAATTTTAAACCCTTATAATAAAAGAAGCTGAATTCACAATTTTTTTTCTACTGCAAGTCGACCCATTTTTCCACAAATCTGGGCTATAAACTATAAACAGGTGGCGTCTCTTCAGTGATCTGCTCTGTAAAAATTATTTTTATAAAATAATACAAAGAGCGTCTAAGATTTTTGGCTTTCAGCAGTAAATCGTAAGCATATAGCAATATGTGTGATCATAAAACACATGCTCTGTTAATTTGAGGGGAGCTTTTACAAAAAAAAATAAATAAAATAAAAATGTACATTTATTTCATGCAGCTACTGAATAATTTGCCTTATGATTTGGTCATATAAATTCAGATGGACAAACCAAAATATACCCTGGTCAATAAGAGGTGTTAAGTAACGATGTTCACACAAGCTGTCGTCCCTGAATTTCATCATTACATAATGCTTCCAAAGGACGTTTGACCACGTCACTAAGGAGCCCCATCCTTCTGAAAGACTGAAGGCAGAAGTGGTTACCCACACTGGATCGTCCGGGCCTGGCTGTTGTGGAGCATGATGTAGATCATGAGGGACAGCTGAGGAGCGCTCTCGCAGAACGTTTCGATGAGTCGCAGCATGCTCAGATCATGGGTCAGATACACCGCATACTCTGACCCCTTCTCTCCTCTCCACCACACGCAGAAGCCCAGCCAGACGGCTGATATGTGCCTGCGAATGAATAACAGAGCATGACCGCTCAGTTAACCTCCAATCACAAACACAAACAAATATTCTTTGGATAAAAGGTCATGCCATCAGTGAACAGTCCTAAATAAGTCAAAGTAATAGTCCCACACATTTCCTCAAAAATATTTCTTTTCAGTTTTCAGCATTTTTTAACAATTTGAGTGAAATGTGTACTTCAAAGGTGAGATATGGCATATTATACAACAGTTAGCTCCGGCCACGCCAGCTGATTTGTTGAGAGGCGTTCTAACTGTGCTGTTTTCGCCATAACATCACAGGTTTTTCACAAACACTATATCAGTCCGCTGAGACGCCGTTGCTAAGCAACAACTTTGACAGATGTAGGAGACGCTCAAGCCATTTGATCCTTATTTTCCCACAAACAGAAAATGGACACTTTTAAGATCACATTTGACCGACAGCCGATTTGGTCAGACTCTGAAGATGAGACGACACTAAATTCCCAAACTGTCATCACCACTGAGCAGCTGTTCAGTCGGCAGCTGTGACAGAAGAACAGCTAAACAACCTGGAATCAGCCAGAAATGAACCCAACACCATTCGCCAAACTAAATGGGCTGTAAGATGCTTTACAGACTGGCTGGAACAAAACAACATTAATACTGATCTGGCAAAAAATGACAAAACTGAGCTAAACTTGATATTGTGGCTTTATAGTAGTGATTTATGGCTCAGTCTGATTTGGTCAGACTCTGAAGATCAGACTACACGTTTAGCGAATGGTATTGGGTTTATTTCTGGCTGATTCCAGGCTGTTTAGCTGTTCTTCTGTCACAGCTGTCAGTGGTGATGACAGTTTGGGAATTTAGTGTAAGGAGCTGGAGAACGAACTGCCGGCTGTGCAGCGAGTGGGCGGAGTTCGTTACTCTGACGTAGCAACAAGCTGCTTGTTAAGGAACTATAATTAGGCAGAAGGAACTGCGAACATTAAAACATATTAAATCACAGCCGTGACGTTATTTCACGAAAAGACACTCCCTCTCGTCTTCTATTGCTTAAAAATAACTAGTGATGCATCAGTGCCGTTTTTTCAGACTGTGTATGAATACACTTTTCAGTACTCGCCAATACCAAATCTGATACCATAACCTACTTAGAATTAAGCAGTTGTAGGTGTAAATAAGCGTAATGCACCTTAACAGTTATTCATTCATTCTTGAAATCCAGCTGATTTTAAATGACGTACATTAGATAGGTATTTTATATTAGTTACGGGTCATTTTACAGAAACGTCCATTTTTGTGTCCCTGGCGTTTACAGATACATTACACATGAAAAACATGTTAGAGTTACAATTTATTTATATTTTACAATAAAACAAGTAGTTATTTTAATAATTACACCTTCTTGAGCCTCAATTCAGCAATATTGGTTTTTAAATCAATCATATAGAATTCCAGGCACCACAGAAGGGCTCGTCCTCACAGTCATGTGTGAAGGGTGAGGCCATATTTTGAGGTAAAAAACAAATTTTTCTGCAATTTTAACTACAATAATCTATACATGACTATGAAATATATATATTAAATGACAAAGAAAATAAATGCCAAATAAATATTATAAAATATATAATGAAAGTTCCCCAGGAGTCATGCCACTGGTGTTACTGCGTAACAAAAAAAACTCTTATTTTGAAATAAAAGTCACACTGATGACATCACTTGACTTCCTTTTACCTGTTTTCTGAGGATCTATGAAGAAAAGCACATGGTGAGTCCACTGTGTCTTTCAGTTATCAGAGATTTTCTCATTCAGCTCATGATTTCATATGAAGCTTTTAGCTGAAGTCACTGGAGTGACCAACTTTATTCTGAGGTCATTGTGAATAAATAGAATACAAAAGGATTAAACTGCATATTTTAGTGGATATTCCATGATTGACAACCTGTGGTTTGATGCTCTGTAGCAGTTATTTTGTAAAATGCATTTTTCATTAAAATGTCTCTGGTGTTATCTTTCTTATGTGAAACACCAATGACGATCAGTCACACCAGTGACTCCTATGGACAGATAAAGTGGACGTTTCTGTAGAATGACCCTTACCTTGAATTGAGTAGCGCTGCTGAAGAGCGGGTTTTGTCAGAAGCATTTCTGTACATCTGTAAGTAAAGTACGTTTCATAGTTTTGGTCCTCATCTGTCTCTTTCAACAACAGTCTCTGTAGCGCAGCGAGAGCAGGAATCATACCTGAGGCTAACGCATCAGAGGAGCTCACTTCAGGAGTTTTATGTTTGCAGGACAAAGCTTATGTGCTATGTGAAATACAGCCTCTACAGAGAGCTCTGTCTGAAAACAATTTTAAATAAAGCTTCACTCAAAATAACACGCTGCGCACCGAGTACTGAGCAAACACTCTGAGAAACTGAGCAGCGCTGCTAACACTGTGCACTGGAGCTAAAACCAGGGGATGATTTACACAGGTAAGAAATAAAACAGGCCTCTCTACGGCCTGTTTTATTTTAAAAAATAATAATAATTAAAAAAAATCACTGTAGTAATCTTTAGCCTATACCTCCCAATTCCACTCAGTCAAACAGAGTAAAGTCAGCATAGACCAGGGGTGTCAAACTCAACCACTAAAAGGGCCATATTAAAAAATCTCAGCAAAACTGAGCGCCAGCTGTGTTTTTATTTCATTTTTACTTACACTTAAAATTTTTCCATGACCTGAATGGGCCACTGTTTATTCAAAATATGCCAAAACTGCAACAGCAAAATAGACCTTGAATACTTATTCAAAAATAATTCTAAACAAAAATAAATTTTAACAATATTTTTTAAAATTTTTTATAATGGTGTATGCATGGTGTATGTGCACCATTCAGAAGAGGACAGAGTAATGCTGCTCCGTACAGCTTATAGGATTACACGTTCTGTTCTTTATCAGCTCTCGCTGTGGGACAAAGATGGTAGCACAGCTGTCATTAGCAGTGCATTAATGTTTCTATATTAGTACTACACAAAGTGGGCCTGTTTGATTTGGCTGCCAGAGAAGTTCCTCTAGCCCCATCCCCTCTCACCCAATGACAGAACAAACATATCTCTGGCGTTGGAAGAAAACCTTGTATCTCCATTTTTGTAAGTATAGTATGTTTTTTTCTTTTCCTGTAAAGGAAATACAAGGTTTTGTTCCAACAACAGCAATAAATATAAGTATACAACTGCTCCCCGGGTGCTGTGGATAGGGCTGCCCACCGCTCCAGGCAAGTGTGCTCACTGCCCCCTAGTGTGTGTGTTCACTAGTGTGTATGTGATGTTTCACTGAACAGATGGGTTAAATGTAGAGGTGAAATTTCCCTGTTGTGGGACTAATAAGGGTCGCTTAATCTTAATATACCCACCCATGCTTTAAACCAGCACCAACCTCGAAATCGCTGTCTCTTTAAAGGGGAATTCCATGAATGTTTTCAAATTTCCTGAATAATTCAGTCCTTAAGATGTAAATAGAGTCATTCAGAGTGGTTTGGTGTGAAATGGTTCAGATGTCTTTACAGTGGTGGTGATAGGAACCAGGGGTCATGACTACAACACAAATATAGACATTTTGTTGTCTATCAAAAACCACCAGTGACTCTACACGAGTCTTCTGAGTTTTTAAATGTAAAATAGTCATAAATCTGAAAATAAAATAAGTTTTTATCAGGGCTATTTTGCCTCACAACACCCTGCATGTATCCCTCCGCCATGAATGGAGCCAAAAACTATCACAGAACAATGTCTGTCATCAGTGCAGTGAATTCATAACCACTTCCATGTTAATAGTTTTCTGTGAGGGAGCTTTTAAAGGTGGACGTCTGGTTCCTATCAACACCTATTCTGACTTGGTAAGTTTCTCCATCTAGAACAGAGCGTTTCACACCAAACCACTCTGAATGACTTTACATCTCAACCATCTGAGTATCTGTGAAGTTCCCCTTCTAAGTGTGTGATTACCTGAGTAAGAAACCAAGCTGGCAGATATGAAGGAAGCCGGTGAGTCTGACCCGTTTGGGGCTCCCAAACAGGATGACTCTCCTGCATGCTGTCTCGAAGTCGTAGTTTTCCAGCTGGCTGTCGTACTGGATCCAGAACCAGCTGAACATCTGAACCACCGCGGAGGAAACCAGCATGAAGCCGAGCAGCGCCGCGAACCAGAAGAACTCTCCGTGCTGGTAGAACTCCTTGGCCAGCCACACGTCCGAACCAATGTCGAACAAAAACGTACAAACTCCGATTACAGCGAAGAGGAAATCCAGCCAGGAATATCTGGAAAAACACCCGAACGCCGGGTTCTCCATTTTCTACACTCCCCGCCACATTTTCATAAAGTTAAGCTAGCAAACAGGCTACGACACCAAACACAGCGGGAGGGGCAGCTACGAGCTAGTTTAGCGCTGTAAACAGGGTCGGTACGGTCATATTAACGGTCAGAAAAACCTCAAAATGAATAAACTGCACATTTTCACGCGTACTTGACATAACTTAACGGCCCAGGAACGTTATTTCCTAACCAAGAGCCCTAACTTGTTCCTCACTAGCACGACAAAGGCTGCGTCTCAAATGGCTCCCTACTACACTTATAGCGGGCTATCTGAGTGCGGAAGCCTACGTTGCGTGACCCCTGTAGGGCAGTACGGAGGGAGTGGGTGGCCATTTGGGACGCGGCCAAAACAGCAACGCTCCTCCCTCCCCACTCAAACTTCAGGAAAGTCAAATAAAACGGTTTGGGTGTTTATCTGATATAAAAACACCCCGTTTAAAGGTGTTTTATGAATATTTAAAAAAAAAACAAGAACAAGCCAAAACTAAACTCTTAAAAAGAAGGTTCTTTAAGGGTTCTTCAGTAAAGACAGTGATCATGAACCATGAGCACTCAAAGAACAATTTGCATATAGAACCTTTATTAAAATAGTTCAGCGTATAGCAACAAAAAGGGTTCTGCTATAGTTATGATGTCAAGCTTGTAACAACAGAGGAACCCTTTGTGGTGCTATATAGAACCGTGAGCACTCAAAGAACCATTCACATGCTTAAATGGTTCTTTGTACGGTAAAATGGTTCTTCAGTTTGATAAAAATGTGTGGTATATGGTTCTATGTAGCACCAAAAAGCGTTCTTCTATAGTTACATTCTCAAGCTTGTAACAAAAGAAGATACATTTTTGGTTCTATATAGAACCCTTTTCTAAAAGGTTCTATTTAGAACCATATACAACACATTCTCCTTCAATCTGAAGAGCCGTTTCACCATGCAAAGAACGTTTTAAGCATGTAAATGGTTCTTTGAGCGTTCATGGTTCTAAATAGATCTGCTGACAAATAATGAACGATTACATTAGAAGCAAATTGGTTCTCAATAAAAACACTATTTGGAACAATCTGGATCAGTGTCATTTGTTGTCCAGATTAATCTGATGGTTGAATACTGTATAATTTTCAGCAGAAATGTTCTCTCTACTACAGTAGCACACAGATTTTGGGAATCAAGTACAGCTATCTGTCCAAAAACGTGTCAGCTTCAAAAACTTTTCACTATAGAACATATTAATAGAATATTATTTGTACTGTGTAACAATATAAACAATGTAAATGTTCTCTCAACGGAACAACAGTGGTTTTAAGGTCCAATTGTGAACCTTAAATAGGCTTTTCCAGGTGAAAAGTACAGATTTGTAGCTTATAATAACCTAATATTTTAAAACAGAACAATAAAATAAAAGCCTGGAGACGAGATGGGGTGTGTGGAGTCAGTACAGCTTAGAACATATCATTTCAGTGGATTATGGTACAGTTATGTTCCCTGACTAAAGGTACTGAGATGTACCCTTGAGGGTACCACTCCAGTGACAAGAGGGGCACTGCCCCAGTGACAGTTTAGTACCTTTATTTCTAAGAGTGTAAGAAAGTGTCATACACTGTCCGTGGTAATGTGTTCCCTGACAAACTGTTGATTAACTTTTATCAATAATGCAAATAAATCAAGGATGTCACCATGCTCGTGCCTACACTGTTAGAAATGAAGGTTCTGTTCAGGTACATTTTCGTTCATCAAGGTACAAACAATGTGAATGTTCCCTCAAAGGTACAACAGTGGTTTTAAGGTCCAGTTGTTTGCCTTAAATGTTTTAACCAGGTGAAAAGTACATATTTGTACCTTTTCATAACTGAATGTTTTAAAACAGAACAATAAAATAAAAAGCCTGGAGACGAGACGGGGTGTGTGGAGTGAACACAACTTAGAACACATCATTTCAGTGGATTATGGTTCAGTTATGTTCCCTGACTAATGGTACTGAGATGTACCCTTGAGGGTACCACCCCAGTGATAACAGTGACCGTTTACTACCTTTATTTCTGAGAGTTTACATTTGTAGTGTTTCAGTAATTTAAAAGGGAATTCCACTGATTTAAACAGTCATTCAGAGTGTTCTGATTTGAAATAGTTAATCGTATTGATTTCTTTACAGTGGTGGTGATAGGAACCAGGGGTCACCATGCCTACAACACAAATATAGCTGTCGTAGCATTAGGCTGAGAAAGAGTCAGTGAAGGCTGTAATTTCTGTTCCAATTGTGCTCTTTTATTAAAGAACAAGGCAGAAAAACACTGCCTACAGCAAAACTCACAGGAGAGGTCACCCAAAGCCATTGGCTCTCACCTCACAGTGACCTCTCCCTCACATAAAACAACACACACCCCAGTTCCCCATCACACACGGAACACACACACACACACATGAACCACAGGCCAGACAACAACACTAATGTCCCATTCACAGGCTGCCTTGCACCTCCCATGAGATTCTTCCCTCTGTAGGGCCGCACCTGCAGCGCAGCCAGCATTTTATTTGCTATCCAAAATGAGCAGCGTGTCTTCTGAGCTTCAATGTGTGAAGGAATGTACTGCAAAAAATATGGTTCTTCAAGGGTGCTTTAGTAAAGAAAATGGTTCTATATAGAACCATAAACACTCAAAGAACCCTTTGCATTGTTAAATGGTTCTTTGCATGGTGAAATGGTTCTTCTGATTGATGAAAAATATGTTGTATATGGTTCTATTTAAAACCTTTTCCAAAAGCATTCTATTTTTTTAGGATTTTGTTCTGTTGTTACATTGCTTGACAACAACACCAGAACCATTTTTGGTGCTCTATGGAGCCTTTTTCAAAAAGGTTCTATATAGAACCATCTACAGCACTCTGAGGTCTGCAGTTTGAAGAATGCTTTCATGATGCAAAGAACCCTTTAATCATGCAAAGGGTTCTTTAAGCGTAAATGGTTCTATTTTAATTTAATTGAATTCAGAACCATTGGCCAACTGTGTTTGCAGACAGAGGAATTAGACCTCCGCATTTAACCCGTCTGTGCAGTGAAACACCCACATACATGCACACTAATGAACACACAAACTAGGGGGCAGTGAGCACACTTGCCTGAAGCGGTGGGCAGTGCTATCCACGGCGCCAGGGGAGCAGCTGGGGGTTAGGTGCCTTGCTCAAGGGCACTTCAGTCACATACTGTTAGCTGAGTGGATCGAACCGGCGACCTTCCGATCACAAGGCTGGTTCCCTAACCTCCAATTAAAGAACCACAGAAGAACCATTTTTACGTGTGTAGTGCTGTGTTATATGCTATTACATTCAATATTGTGTGTTGTGTCGTGTATGTGATGTGATTTTACCTAGAATATTCAGTTCCTGCCTATTTTTGTCTGTCTCCACATTGTCACATTGTCATATAGGCTGGGCCTAATTTTGGTATTAGTCCAGCCTATATAATAGTGACCGTCCATTGTTTAACGGGCTGGCTAAATGTCTGGGTTTTTGTACACAAGAAATAAAACTCAGATTCCCATACATAAGTCTGCTCCTGGTTTGGTGAGGGTTTGGATTCTTCATGTGTGATGCTGATAGTGGTAAACTAGTGATACATCTGAAAAAATTCATTTTCTTTGGGGACTACTTTGCTTCACGGCTCCTCGTATGTTACCCTCGGCCATGAATGGATTAAAAAATCCATCGTGAAACTGTTGTAAAACATATCTCAGGCATCAGGCAGCGTGTTCATAACCATTTCCTGTAATATCATACTGAAGGGAGCTTTTAGAGGCATTGAAAAAACATCCTCTAGGACGTCTGGTTCCTATCACCGCCACTGTGAGCGTTTCTGACTCAGTGGGTTTCCCAAGAGCAGAGAATTTCACAGCAACGAAATGTAAATTACTTCGTTTACATCTTACTTTTCTAATTACTGAAATTTTAAAAATCAGTGAGATTCTCCTTTAAGTCATCTAGATTTTATGGGACAGAACTGCATTTCAGTCCTTTCGGCCAGCAGAGGGCAGCACTAGCACACATAAACGTTCTCAATAGAGTATAGTAATGGATTGTCCTTTGGTTCTAACCAATTATGAAGGCCACAGAAAAACATACTGAATCCTCATGTCTTACAGCAGTGAGCTTTTCGAATGAAAAGACTGTAAAAGTCTGTAGCCAAGATTCACTTTGTGGACAATCTGTAATATTTATTGTACCTTGAATTGATTTGGGCAGATTATGTGATGCTTGTGGAGACTGGCATTGCTCGATTTGCTGCATTCAAATTGAATTTGGCTTGTAAAATATCCTCAACAAGAGCTCAAATTCAGGATTGTCTTCAGACTATAAGACTGTCCAGCCACAAATAGAGTAATTACTAGATAACATGTTCTTTGATCAGTTAAAATCCACTACATTTAATTTGTTTATTACTTCTCAATGTCTAGAATGTGTTAGTAGAACTTCACATGTCCTTTGAGCTGGGGTGGGCAATATGACAATATTGTATTGTTATCATGATAATTTATGTCACAATACACTTTTCTGAGCATATCATGGATATCGTCTGTACTGACTGACTACATGTTTCATTACAAAGTGAGCATAATTAGGCCTCTTTACTTGGATTTAGTGCAGTGCAGTTTGTAAAACGTTGAATAAAATTGTTGTAATTTAAATTTTATTTAATTATAAATTAATTTATAAATTAATTTAAACTTGTTCGTCTTATCTAAAATGTTATTTCAACTTATGTAAATTAGTCTTATTATTATAGTGTTTTTTGTGTGTGGCACTACAGCTTCTATTTTGATTGTTCCAACTTCTTAAATCTCAGAAAAACTAAATATTGTGATGCATATTGTGTATCGTGACAGTGTCCTGAAGTATCATGATAAAATTTTGTTGCCATATTACCCACACCTTCGATTCTATTATTATGACTAGCTCACAAAGCGATGCTCGTCATGATTACATTATCACCACTAGTTCACAACACATTAAATCATGATTGTCATGAGTTTAGTATTATTATTTTTTTTTAACATGTGGCTTTTTTTATTAAATCTCAGAAAAACTAAATATTGTGATGCATATCGTGTATCGTGAGAATTTATCGTGATATATATTTTTTTGCCGTCTCGCTCACCCCCACTTTTTGGTGTGGCTTCGACTATGCAATGATATCGCGAGATTCAGTGCTGGCGCTATTCACGAAATCCGCCCTACGCTTGTGTTTCCGTCAATGAATTTCGGAATTACGCTGAGTGCGTAGCGTAAGGGCCGTGGCGGAGCTGTTACCGAGAGATCGGACACGGAGACAGAATGGGTGAGTTTTACAGATTAAAACTCGTCGTTTACGCTTGAAGCATATCTTATAGCTCTAATATAGCCCTAAATTAGATGTCTGGTGTCTTTTTCATCGGTTATGTACGTCCAAAAAGATACCGTGTGGCTTAAAATTGAGCAAAGATGTGGGTTTCCTGTGCGGGTGTGTTTTTTTTCCTATCAAAGCTCGCTAATGCTAGTTAACGCAAGCTTAAATTCGTTAACTTCAAGCCTACTGAACTGGATTTAACGTTGAATTGTACGGAATTAATCGGGATTTAACTAAACTGGGCTGTATTTTCCTTGTCGGGCTTCCCAGCTGAACTAGTGCAACAGCTGCTGTATAGACTGCGCTATCGTAGCTAGTTGGCTAGGTTAACTTTGCTTGTTAATAACGTTAACGGAGCTGCATTTTTCAAATGTTTACATTTTTACTTTCGTCTTTTCTACTTCTTCAGCATGTTAGCACCTATAATCAAGTCGTCCTTTTTATTCTGAAGCTGTCAAAGACGAAACCTGAAGTTGGCTTTCTGTTCGCCAGCTTCTTGTTCGAATTTTCCCGTTCCACCTTAAATAGCGCAGCGGTCAGTGTTACATTCCGGCGCCCGAACGCAACTGCTGCGCCATTTAAGGTGGAACGGGAAAATACGAACAGCCGTCTGACTTAAGACTCTTCAGAGTGGCTTTAGGCTAGAACTAAGTTAGTCCAAGCAGAGACGACACTACGTGACTTAAGCTGTTTGAGGTTGATGATGATGAAACCACCCAGACAAAAAAAACAGGGATAGTTTGGTTTCATTAGTGTAGTTATTGATGAATCACGTATAGGACAAACTAGAGGTTCATCTCAGCCACTCAATCTTCGCCTTTTAACAGGAGCTCTGGATCAGTTAAGTCATCTGTCCCAACCTGTTAACCCAGATTGACTAAATGCCGACTGTCACAGAGCTGGGCTGTAAATACGGTTCACTCAGATTGAGCTTTAAGACAGAAGAAGTGCTGTACATTTTGTTCAAAACAGCCTTTTGCTTATTAAGGCTTGTATTAGCAGGTTGCATATCTGAATGAACTGCACTGGTGATGGTTAAAGGTGGAACATCACTGATCTTGTGTTGTACCAGTTTTTCATAGTTGAATAGCTAAGATATAAGCAAAGTCGTTCAGAGTGGTTTGATGTGACATATGCTGGTAAATGTGAGAATTGGTCACAGTGGTGGTGATAGGAACCAGATGTCTGAAGAGAGGAATGCCTCTAAAAACATTGTTGTACAGTGGGTTTGGCCTAAAATGTATTTTTTTAAGACCTGTTTTTGGCGGAAAGGTGAAAGGCAAAGCAATATTATTTAAGATTTACCACTGTTTCTCAGCACTTACATATTAAAAAAAACTCAGAAGACTTGTAGGTTCACTGGTGGTTTCACATAGTAAATAAAATGGCTATATTTGTGTTGTAGACATTGTGACACCTGGTTCCTATCACCACCACTGTAAACCACCACCATTTCACAGGAAGCCATTCTGAATGACTTGACAATGTTTTACATCTCAACGACTTGTGGCGATATTTTCAGTAACTAATTGTTCTCTCATTGGGCGGGCAGTGCTTATTCCTTTATGTAAAGAGTGTTTTGTTAAAGTAGCCTTTACGTGCATTTCTGTAAATTAGTTTATACTTACAAAGCAAGTACTGTAACAATAGATGCAACTCACTGTGGTGTGAAGGATCCTTTACATTCAGAAAACTGAGATCTAGTTGCTTGTAGCAGCTTGTTTTTGTATCTTTAGTATCTTTAACACAAGATATTTTGTGGTAATCATTATTCCAGTATTCGGCCTGTGCTGTACTGATATCGCAGAAAGCTGCAACAGATGTCTAACTGTCTAACACTTTTTCCAACTTCATTCGCTGTGAACTTCCTGACCGATGTGAGGTGCTACACGTACGTTTCTGTGAGTTTTTGGATGAATCGGTTCATTTACGTTATCCAACATTCATTATTATGGTCAAAATAATGTAGGTCAGTCAATCGGTAATCATTTCATGTTGTTATTCAACAGCGCGTTTAATATATTGCTGGGTATATGTAGCAATATTATCATAATATGGGATATTTGTCCATGTTATGCAGTAGGCGTGGGAAATATGACAATGTATTAGTTGCGATACATAGAAATTTTAGTCATCAAAACATGTGGGCTTAAATGGGCAGAAGTGTCATTTTCGGTTTTTGGCCGAAAGGGCGAAAAGGACAAAACGTTTGGCTGAAAAATGCAAACGATTTAAAAGGATTACTGCAAAATGTCAATATAAATATTGAATGATAAGGAAAATAAAAATTGTGGCTCCATATTTCCACAACAAAGACACACCGCTATTTCGTATAACAGAATGGATAAAGTCCCTTTATCTGTTAATACAGTTAAAACTAGAAATCAGTATTGTTTGGCCGAGTACCAAATGCTCCAGACACCAGCGCTGCACACTTTAGTGTGTTATGTTCTCTTATGGACCAGATTGAGATCAGCTGTTTCAGTTAAATTAGGTTGGTGCAAAGAGGTGCTAAACATGGTGCCGTACCCTGCATGACCAGGTTTGAGAAACAGCTGTAGGTTAATTAATTCAAATAAATTTTAATTTTCAAATCGCAAGAGCTACAGTTTTTTAAATTATAGTCTACATCAGAGGTCTTTAATTAAAATACAATAAGGTCCAGTTAAAGAAAATTTCCTCAAGCAAAGGTCCAGAACATCATGTCTAACTTGCATCATGACTCAGTGCCATATACTGTAAACTGAAGTAGCCTAGAAGGTAAATCAGCATCTTATGTAGTCGACAACTGAATGTCAGATCAAATCAGTGATATTTCAACAACATTTATTGTCAGTTTTCTCTTTTTAGAGTACACCATGTAAGATAATCTGGCTCACTTACTTCTCCAACTGCCTGTCTCGCCTCGTGCACATCGTAATGCACAGGTCTGGTTGGCTGAGTAGCGTCACGTGTGATATTTACAACGCATGCGATTGGTCTATGAGTCTTCCGGTCCGCCTGTTAGTGACCTCTGGTCTACATTCTCAACGACATATCTTAAGTTTGAAATGGGGAATGTTAACATACGAACACCAAGCTTTTGAGCTTCATGTCGATGAGTTAGACCAATCGGAGGCAACCAAACCTCCATGTGTTGTGACATTACAACCACATCTTGCTGGCAGTCTGGCACACTACAAGCAGGGCTCAAGCCCCAAGCTAGAAAAGTGGATATTCTGGTCTTCCTGGCCAAAAAAACAGGCCTGGACCTGGATTTATAGAAAATAATCATAACTTTAATTGCAGTCACAGTATTAGTCATAAAAATCGCAATTAGATATTTTTCCCAAATCGTTCAGCCCTAAGTTAATCACATTACAGTGCAGGGCACTGCTGGACAGGCCAGACATCACAGTTCACTAGATAGAAAGCAGGAATAGCCAATTCAGTCCATTTCAGTTGTGAGTGCCAAACAAAATGCGTGGTTATATTGCAGTGCAAACCTTTTTGCGGTTCTGTCATTTTATTACAGTTCTGTTGTTTTACAGCAGTGTGGGAAAAAGAAACAGACAGAAATCCTGTTTTATAACTATATCTTTGTTTGATATGACACTTGGTAACTGTGCACTGCTGCATGGTACACTAGAGTTAAATAAAACTTCTAGAGAAATTTTCCTGAGCACTGGTTTCACTTTCAAGCACACTGGGCTATCTGGGCTTGTAGTATTGTCTCACTGTCATATGAAAACTTTTTTTGATTTACTTATTTTTACTGACAATTAAATACAACTTGCAAATGTCGGCTCCCCTCTATACTGTCTGAATTTCATGATAAACCCATAGATCGTCATGATGGACCGATAGAAATGACCCAAAATGGCTTATTCATACTACAGATGCAAGCTCACTACATTACTGTGCATTAGTTAAGCCAAGAACTGCTATAACTCCATTTCCAAGAAACACGGCTTTGCTATGACAGTGATAAACTGTTTTTTGGAGCATTAGACAAATTGTGCGTCAAGGCAATCTGTAAGGAACTCATCTGCCTAATTGGGACAGTGCTTATGCAAGCCACTTTATATTTTTAATTATTTGAATCTCTTATCTCCTGATTAGAAGCTGACCCCTGGTCCCTGTTTTGGATGTTGGACAGCTCCCCTGCTGGGAGTGTATGTGAGCTGTTGTAGGAGTTTGTGTTTTTGACCCTGAGCTCCTCTCATTAAATGAAATTGGCGTTTTGTGATTTTAGCAGCGGTCTTAAACGGCACTAAACATCTTCCTGTCTCCAGTTTCTGCTCCTGCGGAATTCGAGTGATGAATTTGATTAAGTTGAGTCCCGTTCCAGCTGAAGAAGCAGATAGGACTGCAGTGAACTGCTTGTGGTTTAAACACAATTATATAATGTCCTGAACGCAAAGAGATTGTGTTTACAATGAAAACGAAATAGATGGTTTAAGCAAGATTTGACGTATTGAATTTAAAGGGTTTATATACTGCAAATTCTTGCATTTTATTTTTCCCCCGTGAAGCCCACTCATGACATTTATCTGGGTTTATGAATTGTAAACAGTCTTAATTCATTTTTGCATTTTGTTTTTACATTTTATTTACATTTTACATTTACTGCATTTGTCTTATCCAGAGCAACTTAAATTTGATCATTTTACACAGGTAGGCGAAGGCAGTGTTAGGAGTCTTGCCCAAGGACTCTTATTGGTATAGTATAGGGTTCTTACCCAGGCAGGGATTGAACCCCAGTCTACAGCGTGGAGCTAGAGGTGTTACCCACTACACTATACCAACCAACACTTTATCACTTTATTCTTTAAAACCAGGCTTTTTTGTTATTGTGCCTTTAGATGCAAAACAAGCATCCGACCGCTCCAAACTGTTAGCTAGCTAGCTGGATGTATTTCCAAGAAAGGGTGGAAGTGGTCTGGGTAGCACGCTGTTGGACAGCAGGAATT